GCTCACTCAACCCCTCGTAATCAGGCTCCCATTCGCACTCTCACTTACTCGTAAATACATTCTTTCCTGTTTACACTCAGTTAGGGTGGTTGAGGTCTTGATATTCCTCCCTTGGCTCACTCGCACTACACATTCACGCTAATAAATACAATCACTTTCAACACAAGCTAGGGACACAAAATTGTCATTACTATATAACAAAAAACAACCTTCTTTCATCCAAAAAACGGAAAAAGGACACAGATAAACAGAAACAAGGAATTTGCGGCAACCATTTAGGTGGGTCACTCGAACAACCTTTCTCGACCTGTCGGCTCAAAAGTAAGTGTCGTGTGTCAACCTGCCATGGTTTATCCTTAATCGGATGAGGATGACCCTCCTACGATTTTTCAAGATGAGTTGATAGGTGAGAGCTTCCCTTCCTGCCCACCAACGCTGCTTCTTTTAATTTTTTAAAATGCATTTTGAGCGTCAGAGAGCCTGATCAGTTTGTTCGTCGTTTATACTGTACTAGCTTAACTTATAAAAATCATTTAAAAAATGCTTTATCATTTGATTTAATCATTTGCTTAGAAGCCACATATCACCAATAGGGGGCGTAATCATTTCAGTTTTTTTTATTTATTTCATATAACAAAAATGTTATAAAACATACACCTTTTTAGGTGTCATAAATAAAGAATGTACAAAATGAGTTGAAAAGCAATGAATAATCTTTCAAAAAAACACTGAAATACCAGATGTAGATGTGACCAAAAACAAAAATTACTTAATCATAAGAGCACACAGACACATTAACACAACACAGCGGATGTGTAAATACCTCAATTATCTTATTTAATATTAATTGTATCCCTTTCCTTCTCCGAGGCTTGTAACTATAAGTAGTGTGTAAGTAGGCAGACCTGTAAGATCGTTATCGATCAAATTATAAATTCATCACCCAGTAGACTACACCCAGAAATTTTACAATTCTTTCTTTTTGTTTTATTAGACGATGAAATTATTCCCGATAACAAAATTATCAAGTGCTAAATAGGGAAATCGATACTTTTCCACATCCCTCGTCCGTCGTCCTTACTTCCATGTTAAAATGCACATAACAAAACAATTTATGCAATGTGGGCCGGACAGTTCGTTGAATATACGAGACATTTACTTAGCCGGATTCGTTTTTAAGTTTCGCCTCCACCTGACATTTTCTCACATCCCGAGGGAGATTTATATTTTTTTAACATGAGTTACGAGTCTTATCAACCAAATACTGTCTCCGAAATTGTGAAACTTAGCGCGGTCCGCTACGCGTGTGTCTAAGTGGAAACTGAGATAAACGTTATATCAGCAGTTGACGGGAGAGTTATTGACGCTGACAAACGGGCAGGTTTGCCTTGATGAAAAAGCAACCAACTTCAATGTATTATTAAACTCTTTGCATCCCTGAAAGTATCCATGATATTAACTGTTTTATTTGTATTATATTTATTTATATATTATTATATTTATTTTCCATCTGGCAGAATAAAGTTAAATAATAACTGTTCTAACACTTCGACGCCAGTCTGACTCCATTATTTTTTATTGTATTTTATATTAGAGGGGTTAAACATCTTTGCCATATCCGTCCCCCTCATATATATTTTCACTTCTAGGGTACTCGATATTCCCAGGGGCCTTATATGGGTTTATACTATAAATATTCTCATTCCAGTAAATAGGCACAAGGGAAATATTTCAAGAAAAATTCGGTCGGATTTACTTTGTGGGAATTATTATTATGTTTCTTCTTGTGAAAAAAATTCATTATGAAGCTACTCTAGAAGAACTCAATATACCAAATCTGTTCTACCAAAAATAAATTATGTTTAAAAGCTTTTGACGTTGATGAATTAATGATCCTGTGTTTAAAATCAAAATGAATTAGTTGTGATATCAAAACGTGCTTTTTTTAATATATTCAGCTTCAATATTGTTTGACGTGTATGAAGTATCTTTATGATTTAGTTATTCAGATATCGTGAGATGTGGTCGGGTGTGATGTAGGTTTCAGAAAAACATTTTCTTTATCGTGCCCTTGTTTGAATATAAAATATATTTTGCATTGTATAAATTCACTTTTCCAAATCCTAAATGTATTTGTTAAATGTAAACATTGTTTGTAAATCCCAGGCCCTGAGGATGATCTCAATAAAAGATCGAAACGTTGGCACGATAAAGAAAATGTTTTTCTGCAACCTACATCACACCCGACCGCATCTCACGATATCTGAATAACTATCGATTAACGGTCACTAATCTCTTATGATTTTGACTGGGGCGCTTCCCAAACATTGGTCCGCGACGAACGTCGAGAAAAAATAATAATCACAAAAATAAACTTAGAATTAATAAATAAAATTAAAAAACGAATAGTAATGAGAACTAAAAATGAAAATTGTTAGCTGGAAATTTCCCCCAATTTTTGGCTCCGTCCGGAAAACTATTTCTATCGCTCGTTGAAAAATGCAAATCGTGTTTTTATTCCAAATTTTCACAACTTACCTTTGCGAATCCGGATTTTATTTATTTATTTACGGTTTTCCAATTACAAATGTATATAATAAAATTGTTAAAGTTACATAAATTTAGAAGTTTATAATAATGTGTGGTGTTTAGTGACCTTTAGTCAATGATTATTCGGAGATCGTGAGATGCGGTCTGGTGTGACTTAAGTTTAGAAAAACATTTTCTTTATCGTGCCAACGTTTCAACCTTTATTGAGATCATCTTCATGGCCTGGGATTTATAAACATTGTTTGAATTTTACAAATACATGTAGGATGTGGAAAAAATTATGAATTTATACAATGCTATAAAATTTTACATAAAAAAATTGAATTTATACAATGCTAGAAAATTTTAGATTAGAGGGGGCGTTGGTGGCCCAACGGTTTAGACGTTGACACGGCGCTCATCACTGTCAGGTATAGGTCCCGGGTTCGAATCCAGCGGCCCTGCATTCGAGTACGACGTAGTTACAAATGGGCTTTTTTTCAAAAACAACGGCACTCCGATGGTTGATATAACGCTGGATTACAGTGCCTCAGAAGGACTCCTCGGGTCTATCAGCGATACCCCAGGGTCATATAACGCTGTTGCGAACCCTCGTAAAAAAAGTGTGGTGTTTAGTGTCCGTTAGTTGATGATTATTTGGAGATCGTGAGATGAGGTCTGGTGTGACGTAGGTTTAGAAAAACATATATCTTTATATTCACTAATTTCGTGGTCCGCTTGACCAATTAAATCATTACAATTAATTAAGGTGTTTTTAGTTGAGATGAAAAAAAGTTAATGGCACGAGCGGGATTCGAACCCACGATCTTCGGCTAGATACGGCGCTGCTCTACCACTTGAGCTATCGTGACCTCGATCCACTCGGACATCAACTTCCTATCTCAACCCCACCTTATGAGTTTTCAAATGTCGTGTAATCGGTTTGGATTCTCGACGACAATTGAAATGGCCACGGAGAGCTTTAGTGTTTTCCCTCCTTTTTGCGTAATTAAATTTGACACGATATTTTGTTTTGTGTGAAAGTCATAACTGAACATTTGTCAGAATTTAAAACAATATTATTAATTGAACACCAATTATTTAGTTTTCTGTCTATACAGCGACCAAAACTAAATACCGAAGCTGACTTGTTGCTGAACCCTACAACCGTCTCCAATTTTTAACAATTAAACTCAACATTGGCCAGGCTACATCAATTTCTCATTAATAAATTAATCATTAATGTTCAAACCATTACTTTTGAATTTGGGCAGAGTTTAACCTACCTATTCATTCTGTTCTGTCCAGTCTTATTTTTGTCTTCCGGATTTTGCAAATAATGTTAAATATTATAATTAAGTTATAAAATTAATTCAGAATGGACTGGACTGGCTTATTTACAAAAATTTAATTTACTACATACTATAAACATCTAATTTTAAATAATTGGATGAGAGAGATCCGCCCTAGATTGAATTTGACATAATTACTTCGTACGTGAATCGATGTAAAAAAGATTTATATATTCAAATTCAAACAGGGTATTATTTACTACAAAAATACTAATTTTAAAACATATTGCAGTCCGTTAGTTCATTGAAAGCACATATTTTGGGATGTTAGTTTTTAATTCAACTGTTTAAATATCGAAATCGGTCGAAACATGTTAGCGCTGACAACTAATATTTAGTTTTTAATGGAAAAAGTTTTTATCAAGGAAGTGACCGGATTTTAACCAAGTGTTTGAAGACAGGCGGTGGCATAGTTTCAGTTAAGTCTTGCAGCCGTTTGAGGAAACTGCATGAACATCTTTATTACATCTTCAAAGTTTTAACATTTTCGAAGAGGCTTTCTTGGCCAAGTGTTTAAGAGTTTGGGGAATTTCTACCCTCCAGTGCACCCTTATAATGTTAAACGAATTTGAATTAACTTCCACGGCGGGCATAAAAGCAATACCGAGAAATTCACTATTGGGCCCGTTAATTTAGATTTGTTTAAATTAATATTTTTCTCGCCTTATAATTTCCCCCACTTTACAGTATAAATCTTTTTGTAAAGCCTTTCTTCTTCTATATTCGAGAGAAATGATGCACGAGCAACGAAGACTAATGAGTTTATAGCATCAAGCCGACAGTAACATTTCTAATCTTAAAAAGCTTTCATTAAAAAAATGCTTAATAAAAGTAAAATGCTTCGTTACAGAAAAGAACTCATCCTCTTACTGAATTAACCAATTAAGTTATTCTTATTTATAATTTAATCTCACTATCGCACTCAGTATTTATACAATTGCAGGCTCACTTTGTTTAAATTATCTTGTTAAATGAAAAATGTAATTTTTCCATCTGCGAACAATTCATTAACCAGTACTATAATTAAAGTATTTTAATGCGTTTATTATTATAATTACTATGTACAATATTAATAATTTGCATTTGTTTAATCTTATCTAATAATAAATATATTTTCAGGTATGTACAAACGAAAATGTACTTCAGAACATATGTAAGTAAATAGATCATTTAACAGTGTTAAGAGTCTGTATTGGTTAATTGATTTATAAAAGCTCAACTAGGAAAATATATGTACGATGGATCTCGCAAATCCAAACAAGTTTTGGCCAGTAGAAACTTTTCATTGCTGAAAATATAATTTTTTTGGATGCCCATCAATTATTGCTTGCTTTTCATGTGGATTGTTTTTGGTTCCCATTCTGCTTTGTCCTAGGCCAAAAATGTCGTAAAGTGGTGTATTTCAAAGATAGAGATACTGTCAAAATCGATTATTGCAAGGAGAATGTGACTAGAGAGCGTCATTCTCAAGGAATTTTGGTACGCTTTATGTTTCAACCGGTGTGTTTCATCATAGGAGTCAACTTATTAAATTCATTAGTTTTCGTGGTCCACTTGACCAATTAATATCTTTCAATTACTTGGTCAAGCGGACCACGAAAACTAGTGAATTTAATAAGTTAAAATGAAGTAAACCTTCACTAAAGCTCTCCGTGGCCATTTCATTTGTCGCCGAGAATCAAATAGATTACACGACATTTGAAACATGGCAAAAAGGAGGGAAAATTCAAAAGGTGATCGAAGTCACGATAGCTCAAGTGGTAGAGTAGAGGCGTATCTAGCCGAAGATCGTGGGTTCGAATCCCGCTCGAGACACCGACTTTTCTTATCTCAACTAAAAACCTTAATTAATTGAAAGAAAACCATAAAATATAAAAAATGATATATAAAACAAAAATGGTTCAAGAATATTTTTTCTTAATAGAACATTTTTCAAGTTTAAATATAACAACTGGACAACAATAAAGGTAGTTACAAAAAGCTCGATAGCTTGTAAACGTCATTTAAAACAGTAATCAAACTTTGCTCTGACAATGGAAATACAATTGTATACGTGCCAAGGTTTGGAGGCAATTTTATAATGAAACGTATACTAAATTCGAGATTCGAAAGTAGATAGTTCCTCCAACGAGGAAAACAATCTAATTCAAATTAAAATTCGAAGTTTATGTTAAACAGTTTGAACTATCATACCTTTCTTATCAATTAGTATTTATATTTTTAATTTATTTACTCGTTCAGTCTAATCCGCTTTGTCTGATGATACATGATACATGAATGATGGAATAATCTTGAAATACTTATATATCTAAAGCAGAAAGTCATATTTAAAAAAAAAATTTTAATTACTTACAATTAATTAAGGTTTTTAGTTGAGATAAAAAGTCAGTGTCACGGGCGGGATTTTATCTCAACTAAAAACCTTAATTAATTGAAAGATATTAATTGGTCAAGCGGACCACGAAAACTAGTGAATTAAGTTTAAATGAAGTATACCATCACTAAAGCTCTCCGTGGCCATTTCATTTGTCGGCGAGAATCAAATAAATTACACGACATTTGAAAAATGGCAAAATAAAGGAGGGAAAATTCAAAAAGGTGGGGTTGAGATGGGAAGTGTCCGAGTGGATCGAGGTCACGACAGCTCAAGTGGTAGAGCAGCGGCGTATCTAGCCGAAGATAGTGGGTTCGAATCCCGCTCGTGACACTGACTTTTTTATCTCAACCAAAACCCTTAATTAATTTAAAGATATTAATTGGTCAAGCGGACCACTAAAACTAGTGAAGCTAAAATAAAACGTCGTTTTCACATTGTTCACTCAATTAAGTCATTCAGGGCTTATTTATTTCATCTATTTTCAATTTTATTCGTTAAAATACATTTAAACCAAACAAAATAATTAAAATTTTATAAGATCAGTTTTTAAGAAGACATTTTCAATTGTGTAGTTTAAAGAAGATTAAATTAATAATTTAGTGCATTCATAATTGTCTTGTTATTTTCATATATAGGTATTTGATGAACTACTTTGCGTCTGTCCTTGCATTCTATGGACTTAATTACACGCGGAAAATGTATTTTATAAATAGAAAGATATAATTAAATTTAACCCTTCAAACCGAAAATATATTCCGATCAATTAGCGCGAGTTCAGATTTTACAAATTTAAACTTGTTCTTTTTATTATCGTACGTAAGAATCGCCTTTGAATTAACTCTTTTCCCCTCACAAACACTCATTCGTCAAAATTCACTGCCGTCATAAATTTTTAACGGAATTTTTATTTTACCAGAATTAATAACCCCTCGTTGCGGGGAGGCAGAAAACAGAGATTGGCCGTTTTGGCCGTTTCCAACCGGTTTAGACCCGTTTGGCGATACTAAAAACGGTACTTTATATTCCGAAATGGCTGTATTTAGAGCTTGGCTTTCGAGGAATTACGACTATCTCTTCAGAATGATTAAATATGTAAACACTTATTGAATAAATCAATATTATTTAACTACATTTACAATGTATATATTACCAATAATGATCGAATAACAGACTGGTATAAAATTAAATTTCTCATATTCCAATCATTTTTAAACGTGCCTTATCCATTCTACCAATAGAAAAATGTAAATAAAATAGATAATGGTGGTGTATATATTATATTTCGATAATATTTTAACCAGGTTTAAGATAATCCCTGGAAATGTGCCCAATAAATATTACGCATTGGCTTGGAAAATCCGGTTATGTATAGTTTCTTTCAAAAAATGCACGGTGAAAATTGAAATAAAACTTACACCGGGAAAACTGCCTTATAAACATTTGAAACTATAAGATTCTATGATAATTCAATTTATTATAAAAAAAAGAGTAAGGTTGCAGTTTAGTGCGTGACATAGCTTCATTACCCTGTCTTAGGATTATCTTCTATCATTTTCTTTTTGTTACCTGTTTATATTTTTTTACATTCTATATATAATATCTAAAAGTAGGGCAATTCTTCGTGATGTTTGTAAAAAAAACGATATCATGTGGACGCAATCGGGTGACGTAATCAACAAGAGAAACAAATTCCGTGACCCTTTTATATTTCAAACTGTTAAATTCCTAAAATCTCAACGAAAGTCGATCTTTTCAAGACTCACACCTTTGTAATAATATAATAATTGTTGAGACATATCATAATATTCAGGGTGCATCAAATTCTATAGTCCACCATTTAATTAGGAAACGATTAACTTTAGCAAAAAATGATCTTAAACAAAACCCAAGTTAATTTCGGCTAGGAATCGCATGGTGGTAGCAGATGTCACATGACTTTCTCATCTAGCTGGGAAATGACAATAACTTGTTATTTTAAATGAGAATCCCATATTTTTATATTCAGTATTGACTGTCTAAGAATTGGAACAATGGATTGTTATTTATGATTCTATGTATGAATTCTAGTCGTTTGTTTATTTCCATAGATACCAACTTCTTACCTATGCTCGGTCTTAGAACCTTCTGCATACCGAATTTAGTCGGTTTTAACTAGGATCCTTCCCTTCTAGTCTACTCTACTGGGTATTTTATTTAGACATTTTTTTATCAAATCTGAATATTTGGGTCATGGTATCAACAGTCATCCCTAGAAATTAGTCTTCCTGCAGTATTTCTCGAAGCTTTAATTGCTCTTCTTTATGAGAGTGGGCTATGGGAGTCATTAGCCATTAGCCTGTGAATGATGATATAATTCAATGATAAGTAGTTGTGGTAGATTCAAGAGACCTTCCACGGCCATCATAGTAGTTGGAAATAACTCGATGATGGAACATATCATAGAATGAATAGAAAGATGGCTTCCTTACATCAACCAAATGGACGAATTCAAACTAATTAAGCGTATGGACATATTGAAGAAGGCCACGACAACTATGATTGACATTCATGAAATGAAGAAGAAAACCAAAAATATTTTTATATACAATTAACAAATTAACAATAATTAATTTGTAATATTATCCATGTATAGATTACATGTTTTTAACAAACTTGTTGTAAAATAGGTTCATAATCTAAAAAAAATCATTCGTTCAAAAGAAAAGCTCTCTATTCCATAACTCCAAAAATAAAATTAACTCTTTGGCGGTTTTCTGCTTCATATTTAAAAAAGTCAATCTTTATTTAAATTATTATTTACATCAAATGTAGTGGTTCCTTGACCTTTGTTCAATTAACAATTTAAAAAAAATTTTTAGGTTCTCCTTTTTAAATATACAGACAGAACATATTGATTGTGGGTTATTTCTTTCCAGCTTGAAAGCCCTAGTTGTACAGGCCTTTCCTTATTAATAGATAAATTTTATTGTAAATAATTTCTGTTCTTATAAAAAGAGCTAATTTTTCGGTAAATAGGGTTGTTTTGTCACGTTTCTACGTCTATTGGATATAAATTATTTTTCCACCGCAACAAGATATTTTCATTGCCACGTTTAAAATTTTGTGTATTGGTAAGACACAATTTGTTACAGCCTAGAGAATTGACACGCTTTGAAATTTAGAGAATCAATCCTTGTTTATTGATGTATAGGCCCTATTTGGAGGTCCGAAGTCGTCGAATGTAATGTACAATATGCTGCAATTGCCTTTAATCAGTTCTCTAGGAATATAAATGACGATAGTTTGTAGAAATCATGTTTTCTTTCATCATTGTGTATAGGCCCTACTTAAAACATGATGAAAGTATTTTCTCAAAATTAACAAGATCTGTGTTTTTGATTTTTTAAATATAGTTATCAAAATTAACTATTAACTATATGCTTTTCTGGAGAAAAAAAAATAAAAGAAAGGTCAGGATTCACCAATAGTTTTCTATGATAATCGTATATTGGGGAGTTCGTGAGTTATGTGGAGAAAGTATGAAAGTCCATTTGTTTCTGGTTGAAGTTGGGATGAATCTGGAAAACCACGGTTTAGTCATGTTCTGTAGTATGCCTGGTCCTATTCTTAATAATCCTGGCCTTCTTCAGCTTGATTTCTTCCAAATTAACAATAAGCGACCGCATCAAATCTCACAAGAGGCACCATCCGGTTTAAACTTCATTTCGGTTATAGCAAAAATGTCTTATAAGACTTATTCCAACTTTTTTTTTTTTTTTTTTTTTTTTTTGGCTTTACGTTTCCGCATTAGCCACCGGACTT